ATCCTCGAAGAGTTTAATGATACGCATTCAGCAACAAACTACACCATAGAGACAGAAAGTATTGACAGTATCTCATTTCTAGACGTGTTCCTGGTCAGAAAAGAAGATGGCACACTACAAAGGAGTATGTATAGGAAACCTACAACAACAGGTCAGTACACTCATTTTTTGAGTGCAACTTGGTAAAGTGTCTGGTTCATAGAGGTAGGATAAGCTGTTCACACGACTCCCTCAATGAGGGGGTTAAGATCATTAGAGAAATACTTAGTAGAAATGATTACCCAGATTAGTTCATTGAGAAGAATATGTATTTAACATCAAGGAGAGTCAGTGTGACAACAAGTCCAAAAAAGCCACCGTTCATAAAACTGCACTTCCTCGGTGACATCAGCGAAATAGTAACACAGTGCCTGAAGAATGCAGTTAGAAGAGCTTTCAATGCAACGTAACTAGGTACGTTATCTCTCCACTACCACTCCTATTTTACGTTCGAGAAAAAAGATAAACTACCTAAATTTGCCTCCTCTGTGTGCATCTACCAGTTCGACTGTAGCTGCAGAGCCAGCTAAAATTAGGCAGGTTCATCATCGTATTTCCGAACATCATCCTACATAGCAGTTAAGCAAGGGACAAACAAGATCTATTCGTAGCTCCATTGTAGCACACCTTGTGGATGGTGAGCATAAAGTTGATGTTAATACAACATTTGAAACTATTTATCGCATTCCTACATATCTTAATTTTGTTTTACGAGTTCGTCCTCCACATACAGCTGAAGCCATAGGAATGCACCAGAAGAAGCCAAACCTGTGTTCAAAAGAAATTTGTACAGCCACTTGCCTTACCTTGGCCATCATTAAGTGAGTGTCTTAACCGGACTACTTCGCTCCCCCACCCCATAAACCTTTGAAAATTATAATTGTCCAAATTATTTTATCATTTTTCTGACTACTCCATCTCTAATCGCGAGTTATCATTGTCCAAATCCTTTTATTTTTCCTCAACAATTTGTTACGTAGTCAATTTGAAGAACTGGCTTATTCCTTCATTACTCTTCATTTTTCCACAATCATGCACTGTGCAATCCACTTGTTGTAACCATTCCCACTTTTTAATTGTGTGTGTTAATTTTCTCCGTTAATTATCACGCCACTGTTTCATCTGGTGATGCTGACTAATGTTGTTAACAAGCATATCGCCACTCGATTAGTAAATTGTTGTGTATTGTAATAAAAATGCTATATATATGTATATATATGACGATCCAATTGAAAAGTAACTATTTCTCCGCTCACTACTTTTGCTTTCTAAATCTATTGCAGTCAAGCAACTCTAAACGAATATATGTATTTATCAAGAAGCAGTGCTTAATCTCAGTCAACCTTGTTAACAATATGTTACACCTTTTACATAATTACGTATTCTGCATTTGCGATTTTCTTATGCGCAATATATATTAGAGTAGGGATGAGAATCTAAATGAATAGTAAGTATTTCTTCGCTCAATCCTTTTGCTTTCTAAATCGGGTTTACTCTAATTCGACCAGACTATTCCTTGTTGGCAATTCAATGGCTGAATCGCTTAGGTCAGTTGGAGGCAATCCCGATGCTACATGTATGGTGAAATTATATTAAAATGGGAACTGTCGATATCCCTGACAGACAGCACTGGTTACCATCACTTCAGATGACAACTCTCCCTCCATGAGCTCTTTCACAGCTGTATCAATTCGGTTAGACTGACTTGATTCGTGAAGTGCACCTATTCACAGCCGAGGGCCGCTCTTATATAGGTTTACAGATGTAACCTGGATGTCAGACAAAGTCGGCTAGATATTACTCACCCTATAACATCTCATTACTAAATATTCACTTTCCTCGTTGACTGGTTATTGCAAGAAAGCCATCCCTCGAAACACCCAAACATTCTCTCAGACACGCTCACAAATACTAATTTACGAAGTGTTTTCACCTTCACCAGACATACCTTTGAGGCATCATGCAATATCAGTTTAATTCTCCTTCTTCTTCTTCATACATTTCGTCCTAGAAGACCATTTCCCTTCTCCATCGTACTTGCAGACTGAATCTCATACAACTGTCTGATATTTGTTATATCCTTACATATTACACGTTGTTCCCTCCTCACAACAAGTATCAACATGAAATGAGAACGGTGACAACTTTACTGCTGAACCAAGTTTCAATCTGTGATAGTGACAAGAGATATTCAGGCTAACTTACAGCCATAACTCACATCCTACTACCGGGGAATACACTACTGCCTCTCACAAAACCAACATCACTCGTCTAACTACTCACAAACACATGTTCCCCACCTAACTATTCACTGTTATAGTTGGATGAATTTCCATTGGCTATCCTTCCCATTCAAAAGCTCGACTCTTACTTCACATGAAGAATACTGCTACGAACTATACGCATCCGTGTCCGTTCACTGCTGACTCAACTGTCTTGTCTCACCGACAGTTCCCTACCAATCACCATACATCCTCAGAGTTCAGCTTGAATGGAAAACGCTACACCACAGGCTTCTCACCCACCTTATCACTTGTTTGACGTGAAAGCAAAGGACGGTTGGCCTTCTATATTCATAGTACTTCAAAATCAATATCATACGCTGTCGCACTCATTCTCGTCAGGAGGCGAATATCCTCCCATTTTATGTACTTCCACCACTCAGTCATCAAGCACCAACATGTCTTTATCCTCAGCTCATATAACACTTCAAACAAGATATACATAATTCACCTCAAGTAAATCAGGCCGAAAACATATCCCCAAATGCTGTCCAACTCAAGCTACTCCAATACTTAAACACCGAATCTCTCTACATTTATTAACACCAACAACGTATACAACACCTTGCTTACTGATCGCCGCAAAAGATCAGTCTACATTATTACTACTGTGATCATTGAAACGACATCTCTCCGTATGTGCTACATTCAGTGTGGACAGTTGCACTGCTACACAGTTATACGTGGAAACTAGTCAGTCAGTCAGTTAGTGAGTTCCATCTTCGATCGCATTAGCTGAGACTACGTTTTCTAGTGAGAAATGGAAGTCAGAATGGACTCACGTACAAGCGATAAATGTAATTTCAATATTGTCTAATTTCCAATTCTCTCCGTTGAAATTTTCACTTTAAAATATCATACCATACCACACCATAACATACGACAATTCTTATGGATTCCTCTTGTTCTTGAAATGAACTAACCACGGTCAGGGCATTTCAGAAACTCTCTTCAAGTCTAAACAGATTCACAGAACGTGAAGTCGCAGGTGACAGAGCAAATAACCAGTGGCAGTAGCTAGAACAAACAATAGGCGAAATGGATTCAGTGCAGTGTCTACGAGCAGAAGTAGCAGTCATAGCCCTGAAAACCTGAAGAAACAAATTATGATAGTGGACAGTTTCTTACACTCCTGAAATATAACTGCCTAGAAAATGTCTACAATTAATTGTGACATGCTAGGGACTGACGAAAACCTATGGGCAGGCAGGATACTTCAAATAAGTCACACCTAATCTCCTCACAGTCAATACACAGTCTTGACAAGAATTACACGTGGATACGGATGTAAAGCAAGACCCTACTATTGTCATATTTGACAGGCCAATCAGTTACTTCGTCAAATTAATTCAGGAGTGATACACTCATCTGAAGGAGTCATACACTCCCCTCGATTATCATAACACCAACCATCCAGTCGGTAGTCAAATATTTCCAGTATGACATATCTAGATACTCGTGTCTAGAATCACTGTAAATGCTGTCCTAGAAGCTGCACCCTCTCTCTACAGCTCTATGATATTCGACTGCTTTCAACACTTTGATGTCAATGAATCTAACTAAGTGAGCCAAGGATGTAACCACCAGTCAGTCACCTGTCGTAATCATGGCCCTGCACTTCGCCATCGAATGTGAGCAGGTTACCATAGATGACTGGTGTATTCAAGAGAATGGTCATTGTAGTTGCCAGATATCTACACAAAAGTATTACTTCATCATTCCGAAGTAACCACTCACACTCCCAGTTGAAGTACAATACATGAAATGACTCATTACATGTCGAAAATCCATCAAAATATCGTCTATTCGCTTGGATAATCATTGCGAAGAACTTCACAATGGTAACATATTTCAGTGAAGACAACCTCACACACTTCAAATTTTGCCGCCTTATGAAAGAATAAGCGACATACTGGATAGACTGAATGAATTCCTGTTGGGAGACGAATCACAGTCAGCTTGTGAGAAGCTCTGTATTAAACTAAACTATCTCCCACGTGTATAACCTTTTCCTACCAACCAACCAACCAACACTGCTCACACCTATGAAACAAAAGGATGACTGTTTTCACGCCACAATCACCACTACCTATATTTCAGGATGATTGTTTCAACAGAATAACTAAGCAAACTTGGAGAAAAGTAATACAACGGCGGCGGTATAACACAGTAGACTTGAAAACACTCATGAGTACTAAAAATGATAATAATAATAATAATAATGAATACAATGGTATTTAACAATAACACATAACTCTATAGGAAAAAAAAGGTGAAGAAAAATATGAACTTTGGTGTGCAGTATAAAGAAGTACTTGGAATTAATATCAGTAAACGCACCTCTAGCAGATTGACGATTGTGTCAGTGAATGTAAACGTCACAGCAATCGAATAACACAGAAAACTAACTGAATCAACAATAACAAATATCAACTTGAGGATACATGATACTTTCCTTCTATCCGAATAACCCACTGGATAATAATAATAATGCTAATAATAACAGTATTCTTAACAGTGATAATATAAACGACCAAAATATGAATGACAACAATGATAGGCGCGCGAGCAGTAGTAGTAGGAGTAGGAGTAGAATTACAATCCTAATGAACATCCATGATATGCTGCATTATTGTGCTACGGATCTTGCTGTGAAATTCACACATTGGACAGAAAAAATCACCATTCCATACTTGTACCAAAAATACTGTGTGAATTCAAGCTATAATCAAAAAAGAAAAGAAAATCATCATCATCATCAATATCAGAGATGGACATAGTTGTGGCCTCTAATCCACTTTGTCTTCCTCTTGCGTTATCACCACCCCTCACATTATATTCATTAGTAATACCTGGTCGTCTCTCACAACCACTGTATCTATTGTAACTGCTACACTGAATACTTTCATATGTTGACTGTCTATTAAGAGTGGAATCATTAATCCGTATAGAAGCTGATCCAGATTGTAGTCTACCTGATATTTTCGAGTTCACTGATGGAGTAGAAGTAGGAGTAGCAGTCGTCGTCGTCGTAGTAGTAGTAGTAGTCCGCGTTAATCTGATGGGTAGATTGTCATTTGCAGTTGGAGTGGTTACAAGCGTTGTTGGTATATTATTCAAAGAGGCATTGGGTGGAACAGACGTTGTGACTTCATTACAGATATTGGGAGTATTAACGACTTCAATTCCATGAGCTACCTTCGCATGTCTAATTAAGTCTTCGCGTGTCATACAGAATGTCGGACACAAATCACAACCAAGAAACTGTAAAGGAAAAAAACAAAACAACAAAATACAACAGTTGTATAAAGCCCATGGATTAGATAGATTCATTGATTTAAAAATAGAACTTGTGCACTGTGGTAAAGTATAATTCCATTGTGGGTAAAATCTATTTTGATAAAGTCCCACAGTGTTATACAGTAATATTTACTGATGACGTTTGAGGCACAACTTATTGCCACTCATAATCATATCAAGATACTCACACAACTTTCGAACTTCGTTTATATAATTTCATTATTTTTCACCACTCCACTTGATTGGTAGTATTGCGGTGAGACCTGTGTGCAAGCCAAAATTGTAGACAGCAATTTACCTCAATGTTACTATCCGATTCGGGCACATGAGAAAAAATAATAACAAAGCTTAACCTTGAGGAACTCACCAACCAATCACGGTAGACTTAATGTGGGCAAATACGACTCTTAGATATATGGCTCAACTTTCTAAGAAACGGTCACAAGCAGTACAGAATAACCTTCAGCAAGAAAACAAACAATCGGAAGACGTTGCTTCTCCGCTGACAATAATGTACAGAAAAATCTATATCTCTTGACTTTCTCAATAAACGATCTGTTGCTTGACCTTCGTCTTCTGTAGTTACAGTAATATTTTCCACATTTCCGGTATGAGTGATGAATCATTCCTGTTGCACGTGTTGCGTGTAGACTCGATGAACACGGATTCAGTAATCAACCTCTATCTCCACCTACCTATATTACTTCTTAGATTTTAAACTTTCTCCTATCCATGTTGATCCATGCAGTGCAATTGCTGAGCTTTTTTCTAAGTTACTTATCTTCGCGGGGTCAGCCATTCTAAACCCTAACTATGTTCTGACAATCTGACTGCACCCGATCTACTAGTGTGACCTATGCAGTTGATTTAACTCAGTCATTGAGACGTATCTTGTAAATTATATTTTGTCCAATTGGGTCCAACGCGTCCTTTAGCCTACACAGATTGTCTCTGAGTGAGTTTGTAGGTCTAAATGCCACTCTAATTCCTACTTTATTAAGAATTCTACATAGGGTCTCAGATGTCCCCTCCTTATATGGTAGAACTGTAGGTGCCTTATATTCTATCTTATTTATCTTACCACTATTCGTCTCACCATTATTTTTATTTTGACCTTTTCTGATCTTCCTAATAACCGGAGTGATTGAACTCAGACTCCAAGCTTAACACACCACCAACCGGTTGGTGTCAAGTGTCTAGTTTAACTATCCATGTATCTACATATATATATCCTAATTTAGACAGTGTCAGACAGACGAATTAAATCAAAATGAACAAGACTAAAAAAGGATGACTGGGAAAGCGTTGTCCTTTCTCCATGTTACTATTAATGTTTTGATGATCACTTGTTCGGTTCAATGACGCACGACTTTTTATCATACACACTGAATTCTCTTTTTTTTTCTTGTAAGACAGCCAGTCAGCAATGTGGCTCAGACTATCGACTGTCCGAGGGGAACATACTACTTTTCTAACAGACCTATTAAGGACACTGGATGTTGATGATAGCAGAAATCTTTATTCCTATATCACTACTACTCTATTGACTTCAGTAATATACTACTATTTCCAAATGTAATAGTGTTGGCTAGGACAATTCTATTGGAGTTATTATTATGATAAGTCTGACAACTACGTCAAAGTACTACTTGTCATCATCAGTCGATTACGACTGATTGAATGTGAAGAGTGATGGTGGTTGGCAATACAAATGAAATCTGACAGATAATCTAATGGTCACTTGACAAATTGATTAGCAACTGGCAACTAAATCACTGTGGTTAAGCGGTCGTTCTGGCTAACTCACTTTGTAGTGTTGAATTGTACACATGTTCACACACCACACTTATGCGTATATGTTGACTAGAGAATTCAGGGTACTATTTACAAGAATTGGCGTCACATCAACGTTCGTGTAGTCCGCTATTTATTTAGCTATAAGTAATGCATGACCATTCTTTATCAACACAAATCCACAGTTTCCAGCAACCAACTTCTAGTGAAAGATTGTTTTCGTATTCATAATTCAGACATTAAACAAATAGGAGAACTTACATTATGAGAACATACAATATGGCGATATTGATCATCGATGTTCGTCGGAATTAGCTGATGGCATAATTCACATGGGACTTGTGCAGGGAGTACACCAAATGGTGGTTTTCCCATACTTCGCTTGATTAGATCATTTGGTCCCAGTTGAACAGGTATGGTATTTACACTTGAACTAACAGGAAACGACTGTTGAGATGACTTCTGTGAAGTCAAATTAGTAGAAACAGACACTGTAGAAGTCGATTGAATAGGAATGCTCGAATGACTAGCAACGGACGACACAACAGTTGCCTTATTCGATGACGCAGCAGAACATGGTGCAACTGGAATCTGTGTTTTTCTATTCAGTGATACACTAGGCTGTTCAGCAACTGTGACACAAATCGGGAACATTGGTTGAGAAGTTTGAGGGCGTATCTGTCCTGTATTTGAAGTAGACTGACCGACTGAGGTGGTCGGTGGCGCTATAGAACATGTAACTGACTTTGACACAAAATTTGGCACATGACCAACACATGGAGTCGGTAATACACACAAATTTGTAGGATTAACACTACCCGGCAAAGGAAAACTTGTTTGTGTTGTTACAGATGGTGACTCGAAGACAGTTGGGAAATGAATAACACTCCCTGAAGTAATTTGGTTACTTTGATTCGGATTCGCAGTACATGGAGTTGGAATTCTATAAAAGAATGATTGTACACATAACTGATATTAACGCAACTGTTAGAATATAAAACACAGAAAGTGATTAACACGAAACATAAGTTAACTTCAAAAGGATGAATTTGTACAAATTTACTAAAATCTAACCGAATCTCTACAACCGACAGACAATTCCGTTACAAATACACCAATAACAGTTTAATAAAATGCACAACCTATAAGCAAAAGGAAAGAAATACAAATATTTTCAAAGCCTGGTCTTTTATTAACAGTGGTATTTGGAAACCATTATACATATATATGTATATATGCAACTAGCAACATTCACAGCTGGCTACACAAAAAAATTCACAACTTCAAGAAACTTCTGCTCTTTCTCTCTACTTACTTGGATTACCAAAGATCTTATCAATATGACTGACTGACTGACTGACTTACCAGCTGAGCAATCTGCACAAAAAGTGATTCAGTTCAAGTTACCACACTTCCCAACAGTGCACATAAACTCGGGGGAAAGAAATGTACTGAAATATCAATGGACGAAAATCTATCGCAAAGAAAAAATATTTACGCGGAGATTAGTGAGGATTTTCACAATCTGAAAGATGGTAGAACAAGTTGAACATGTCTGCATCATTACGAACAATTTTGAGTCATATAGCAACAATAGTTCAACATTGACTTCAGCATCGAAATGACCCTAGTCGAACAGTATAAACCGCCTAACATGATTCAAACCAATTGTCACAGACTTCACTGCTGAGTGCCTTCTTTTCATCTGACCACCTCAAGCTTGCTACAGTTGCAAATAGTATCTATCCCTCGTGGAAAGTGCTACCGCCTCAGAATGAATAATAGATGTCCCAGACAACTCAATCTATATAATTATGCAACATAATGCATGCACTTCCACTGCTTACTTGACATTCGATGTGAATCATCACTATAACAAGCCATTTCGCTCCGACTAACACAACAGATTATACACAGCAGCAGCTTATGATAAATAACCACTTTAACACAAGTGTCTCCTACAGATAGACATATAACAGAAGAGAGCGAAAATCTAAACAACACACACTTGTCAACTTATGAATAGCAGACTATCAGGTCTACGCCAAACAGGATGCAAATTAGCCTACATCCAAAAAAACAACAACAGACATTTGCAGCATAAGTGACGTGATCTGTAGACTCCCTTTGATTTGTTGGTTGGTTGGTTGGTTGGTTGGTAAACAGGTTCTCGGCTAGTCTAGTGCTACAATCCATTGTGGCTCATTATTTCTGACTGGTTGTCTAACGTGCTGTCATTAGCGAGCAAAGCGGTTTCCTGTCGCCTCTTCAAAATACTTTAAATGGATGCGACAAGTATCTGCGATATCTTCTATCAACACTACACAAGAGTGAAAGTAAAAAGCAAGTTGTCCGCGTATGCATTCTACTCATTTCACTACTATCCATGATGAACTTCACCATTTTATACTATTAGAAATCGACATGGAACCTTCAAATACAATTGGGCTCATCTCATCACCTTACACACAAGTGTCTTCGTTTGCACTTGCTTTTCAAACGAAATCGCTTGTGTGAAGCTAATGTGTCAAAAGAAAATAGGAGTCAAACATGAAAACTGACGTACTAAGAAGGATCAGAGCTTAACACTGAAGATCGTGAGATTCAATACTATTATTGATATTAAAACACAAATTAGAAGAAAAAACACACACACACTAGTACTTACATAGGTAATGAAATCACAGGGAATATTGACTGCATATTCTCATTATCCTCTAGGATCCTGCTCATTTTAGAATGGTTAAAAGGTTTAACTTTCTTTGGCTCGATGAGTTCACCGTAAATAGCTGATATGCTTGCACAATACTTTACAGTATAACACTGGAGGCTCCAACGTCCGAATGCATTTACTCGAGTCACAATCATAGCTTGTATTAAATTATACAGGAAACGGACAAATTTAAAAGGCAAACTGAATCTGGCATATAACGAGGGATTCAGTGTAAGACACGCTAAAGCATGAGCATCGTATCCAGACCAAGGAGCGCTCTCGTGAAATGAATTATTTGGTTTACACGAAGCGTGTAAAAAAATATCCGAGTCTAGACTACGTGAAGAAGTCTGAAATAAGTTAGTAGATCCTATCGGCGAACCGCAAACAGAGCATATCATAACTTTGGGATTCTCTATACGCTCAACAGTCAATTGTGCATGAGTGCTAGAATAATAATTTTTTTAAAGAAATGAAATGAAAATGATTACAGTCTTTGGTATATACAAAAACAAATAAACAAACAAACAAACAAGTAATACATTTTTAAGAACTATCATCAATCCCTAATAATTACAACCCACCCTCAAGGTAGCCGATTCCCCCTGAGTGAAGTAAAATAAAAGACGGTCAATTAACAAACTTTGAGAACAAGAAGTTAGTGGTATTATCGTCTACAGGTTAGATTAGCAAAACGTGAAATGTATGTGGGATCTAGTAGAGGTCAGTCAAATGAGATTTTCCACTCTATATAGTAATTCAAAGCTATACTCACGAACGGTTACCCTTAAGTGGCACTATAGAGTAAATCTGAGTATAAAAGTTCAAGTGAGTGGTGCTTAAACCTAGATAAATCTACAATTGGGTGATGAGACCTCTATCTGAAATACATGCATATCTCGCGGCAATTTATATTTTCTGATGACTTTCTTTTGAAATCAATTATACTTGTCCTGGAGAAAGGATATAAGGAAGTTTCAAGTTCAACCGTAAACGTTAACATAAGTAGAGTAGTTTAAAAACATTATCATCTTTAGCCATGTAGACAGGCACACTTTTCTAGTGACTACCATAAACCACAATATTTCCTGTTACTAAGACGGCAGCTTCGAAAAAGTAGATCATTTCATACAATGTGGCATCGTAATGTGGTAGATCCCAAGAATGTCTTTATCCTGATAACCGAAAGCCGAATCAGACGTAGCTTCGAACTAAAAGCAGTGGTGGTAATACTCTGCATAGAAGCTATCAAAATTCTTTTAAGCATTTCTAGTAACATTGGCCTCCTTTAGTGATTAGTTCTTTTTAATTCTTTCCTTCCCCGTCTTTATAGCGCTTCTTTTTGGTGCCCGTGGACTCAGTTGGTGCTGAGTACAGACTTACCATGGTTTATCACGGAGTTTTCCAGTTTTCGTTAGAAAATTGTATTGTCATTGTTTAAAAGGAATTTTCTGATCACTCATTCCTCAACAAGTGACCGAAAAAACAACAAAACAAAGTAATTACAGTGAGGTATAAAACAATGCATCGGCGGCACAGCGGCACAATGCTCGCCAACCACACAGGTCGTTCGAGGTTCAACCCCCGGTCGATGCACTCCTTTACCTCACCACGCCAGTAATAAGGCTAGTAAAGAGGGAAGGTTTGGCATGAGGCCATTAATCCCATCCCGTAAAAATAAACACCACTGCTACCGAAACTTCAAGCCTCTAGCTTGAAGCCCTATGTTCCACTAGGAACGTAAAGGAACAGAAAAAAATAAAACAATGAGTTCGTCTTCGTTAGATCACAACATACTCAAACGTGCTCTAATTTCCAACCTATGCTATACTTCGTATACGTATCATGTATCACAGAACACGACCATATATTAATGATAAGTGGATAGTTCTGATGACAGACGCTTACCCACGCAAGCATCTTTAAGTCCTAAGAGGATGTAACTGGGCATACATAGCACTTGAAATCAATCTCTTTTATGTTTCTTTTCTGGATTTTACTAGTAAATCCATTTTTATTGTGTGGTCTCAATAGCCGTTACATTAAAAGAATGACAAGAACCGCTTTTGTCTAGAACAAAATGTTGAAGGATGATATATTTTACAAATTGATATATTAATCGAAAAAATGAGTATATTAGATGCATGTATACACTCACCGTTTAAGGTGATTACTTAATGCCCTCTGACTCTTGCTAATCCAACCACATACAGAACAAGAGTATTGTGGCATACTTAAAGACGAGTTGTACATATTTACTGCAACGGGGACATAAAAACGACTCATCAGGTAATCACCATAATCTATTGCAAGATTTATCATACTGCCATTATTTCCAGTGCTTTTTCGACGTGTTTCTATTAGCACAACAAGCGGATTAACATTAACGAATTCTTGATGACCTTGTTCTAGATGTCTTAGTAACTGCATAGCAGATGCAGGAACATATGGACATTTGTTATCAGTACAGTAATTCCAGATCTCATCCCAGCGACGGTGATAAGTTTTCGGTCTCCATGTTAAATGAGAAATATTAACTGATGGAACTAAAGAATTTTTGTTATTCGACTGCTCCTCTATACGTCGGCGTTTACGTCGATTACAAAGTGGTAGTTGAGGAGAAGGATTTGCCTTCTCCACAGCCGCTGAGTCGTATTGGTGTCGTAAAAGCGCCGAACCTAAACAAAGTGACAAAAGGTGTAATTATAAACAGTTGGGATGCGAAATATTCCTTTAAAAGATTGAATAGAAGATATTATATCAAAAATGATAATCGAAAATCCTCAAAAATCTGGAAATAATTCCTAGATTTGCAGCTATTAAAAATAGCTTTAATATCAGTTACTTCTTCAATGCTAAGCTCTTAGAAAAAGCAAACTATACAAATAAAATGATTTTATTGGGAAGTCACACTTTTTGAGTCGTGTGCTCAGTTCAACCCAATTTATAACAAAAAATTCAGTAATCGCAGTTCTTTCAAAATGAGTGATACGAAACTTCAAAAACAAAAAAAAACAACTAGATTTATACTTTTTAGGCACTAACCGCCAATGGATACTTGCAATCTGTGCTACACACGTTTGTTCGCCCACTGTTAATCAACCTTGTACAGCTTACTTTTAGTATACACACTAAACCACTACAGTTAGCTTAGTGCAACTATGAGATACTGATTTTTATCACTAAGAAAAATAACCCCTTTGCAGATTATAGAGATGTACACTATCTCGAAAAGTATAGCAATTCAAGAAGTCATGTGTGCCTAACAGTGTACATGGAGAGAATCAATAAACACATGACAAGAGTTGAAAGTAGTCATTGATATGAGTCAACAGAAAGTAATAAGGAATTGTAACAGTGCGGTGAGCAATTATTTATTTTATTTAAACGCAGAAAAAACTTGGTATAATATGACACCAAGAAAGATGCGCCACACAATAATAGTAAAACAACATAGATTAAAATTAAAAATATAAGGAGAGAACGGATAAAGAACTTCATCTGGAAGGAGAACAGTCATGTTTAACAAGTTCAAACAGTATTCCTGAACTATCATCACGAAGGGAAGGAAGAAGGAAATTGCAACACGTTCGCCATTGATCACCACTCTTCGCCATATCCGATAACGTTTCAAGCCATCGATACGAGCTATCTCGCGGACCCCAACCAGGGAGTCGTGACGCACCAATCGATGCTAATCTAGCACAAAAATCCTTCATCCCACGACGACACGTCATGGACTGACCACCCCTCCGCCTTTTCCATCCCGTCCCAGGACTAGCGAACACAGACCTGTACGGAAGCCTCTGGGATGACACTCGCAGCACATGTCCAAGCCACCGGAACCCGTGTTCCCAGATAACGACACTCAATGAATGGTGATCTCCACTGTGTTCAAACACACGCTGCCGAACCTCAGAATTACTCACGCGACGATGCCATAGAACGCAAGCAATCCTGCGGAGACAGCGACGATCAAACACGCAGAGTCGGCTCACATCCTCAGCTCGGAGAGGCCAGGCTTCACAGGCGTAGAGCAAGACAGCCCGCACCGAAGCATTGTATGCCCGACCTTTGACAGCCAAGCTAACGTCGCGACGGCGCCAGAGGTGGCTCAAGTTGATGTATGCCACCCTAGCCTTCATTACACTATTGGAAATCTCATCCGTCACCCCTCCGCCAGCACTCACACAACTACCCAGATACACAAACTTATCAACAACTTCAAGCGGTTCATATTAGTTTGTTTATTAGATATACCACACAGTGAAACAGTACTATTTACTGGATGACGTTTCGAACAAAATTTATTGTTCATAATCATATCAATTGTAATCACACGACTTTGAAATAGAAATAGCACTAAGTGGGATAGACAAAACCACGGCTGATGAAATACGAGCACAGTGTGCACTGACATTAAAACGACAAAAATGTGGAAAACCCAACCTGACAAAACAAGAGATAGAAGCCCTGAAACACCTTAAGAATAACAAGGATATAGTTATCACAAAGTCAGACAAAGGAAATGCAACAGTTGTATTAGACAAATCAGACTATTTGGACAAGGTAAATACTCACATACAAACAGGACCATATGTGGAAATTAATAAACCAATAGATACAGTTATGAATAAAGTTAATAAATCCACAGCGGACCTTATACGCCGAATGAAGCCGTTTCTAGGTGACTCTAAGTGGTTTAATTTAATGCCCAAAACTAATAACCCCAGTAGGATGTATGGTGTTGTTAAAGTTCATAAGTCAGGATACCCTATTAGGCCTATAGTTGATTTTAGAAATTCACCTACTTATGAATTATCTAAATATTTAGCCATGGTATTAAATCCCCTAAAAATCCACTCGAAATCTAGACTAACAAATTCTTATGAAATAAAACACACATTAGATAATTTAAAATTAGATAATGAAGAAAAAATGGTTAGTTTTGACATTATCAGCTTATACACACGTATACCAATAAATATGGCTATGCAGGCAGTCAGAAACCAACTCATTTCTGACCAAGAAATCGAACTCAGGACAAAAGTGCCACTTGAGGACATAATGCTGGGAGTACAGCTATGCCTGACTTCCACAGTATTTAAACTTCAAGGGAAAATATACAAACAAACTGAACGAGTTGCCATGGGATCACCATATCCCCAGTTGTAGCAGATATATTCATGGATAAGTCGGAAAGCATAGCGATTGAAACGTTCACCCCAACCCCAAAAGTATGGTACAGGTATGTAGATGACACATTCACTGTACTTAAAACACAAGATATAGATGGGTTTTTCGAACACATCAACTCGAAGGTTGAAGCAATTCAATTCACTTATGAATTGGAAAATCAGGAAGGGCAGCTCCCAATGTTAGATTGCAACGTAAGGAGGAAAGAAGATGGGAAGTTAAACACAGTAGTGTGTTTACAGGAAACCCACACACTCAAACAGATATTTGGACTTCCGATCGTCCCATCCTATGTCAGTAAAAATAGGATTGGTGAAATGTTTAAATGACAGAGCACAAAAACTAAGCAGTACCAAAGAAAATCTAAAACAGGAACTGATACATATAAAAGAAGCCTTGAAACTTAATAATCACACGGATAAATTAGTCAAGAAATATGTAAGGAAATGTAAAAATAAAATAAATAATGATAACAGAGATAGTGATAATAACAATAATAATGATAATAATAATAATGATAGTGATAATATTCATAATATTAATGACGACACCAATAATAAGGAATCTAAATCATCAGTAGTAATTCCATACAAGGAAGGAATCTCGGAAGCCTTACGCAGAATTCTTAACAAGGCAGGCAGTAATAAAAATGGCATTCAAACCCACAAACTCAATTAGAAACAAGCTTTGTCGGTTAAACGATCCTGTAGAGCCTTTAAGACAAAACAATTTAGTTTATCTCATACCCTGCCGGAATGACTGTCAGGTCAAATACATAAGTCATACTAGTAGAACAGGGGCAGTCAGACTAGCTGAACATAAAAACCTAGCAAAATCTAGATTGGTTGACCCGGACAAGATAAGAAATCTAGAGAATAGTTCAGCTATAGCACTACATGCAGTTACACACAACCATACAATAGGATGGCATAGGATGACAGTTTTAAAATCTAATGTCACAGGGTATAGGGAGAGATTGATAACAGAAGCTTTGTTTATCGAATCAACTACAAATACATGTAATAGGAATGATTCATCACCTCTCCCCGATATCTCGAAAATTCAACTACCCATACGACAAATAGGAGAGAACAAAGGAAACTATAAAACTCAAGTGTCAAAGTCGTGTGATTACAATTGATACGATTATGAACAATAAATTTTGTTCGAAACGTCATCCAGTAAATAATACTGTTTCACTATGTGATATATCTAATAAACAAACTAATATGGAATTACTTACTACCACAGTGCCCAAGTTTTACACATATTTCAAGCGGTTCACCCGCAACAGTGAGTGCAGGTACAGGCTCCTGCCAATCTTGTAACAGTACTTTGCACTTAGACGGTGCAAAGCACATACCATACTTACAGAGCAATTACACCGCAGTGATCAATAAAACAACATCCATGCAGCTCCATAACCTTTTCTATCAATCAATAACCCTTTGCTAAACAACCTTTCGTACACATAGACACTTCATCACCCAAATGAAATGTATTAACACATCATTGAATCATTCGCTAACTGCCACTAAATGCGTGGAACATAATGGCTGTTACCACCAAGAGATACACCATCTATACTGATGATGATAATAATAGCGACTGTGAGATATTGAACAATACGAAACAAATGCACGAAGATCTTATCAATTATTACTGCCGAACACGTTACACTGACTGAAAACAGTAAGTTATCTATCAACAACGAAGGATCCGCGTAGTGTTTCATACACTAAATTTCTAATTACGTATAACTACCGACTTACTTTCTCACCTCACTTTTCTGTAAGTTCTACTTTAGTAGTATTGCATTGATTGATACCAAAGGATACTTACTATACAAGGTGGTGAAAACCAAAGTAAAGCTTGAAAGAATGGTGAGAACGAAAACTGTCTGGCAGATTACTGAACCATCGTCATCAGGTGAAGTGATCACTATACATTAGGAATAATTTCCTATTTCTCAGGAAATTACAACAAACTGGTAACGCACTTCATAAGTGATGTCTAATAAAATAATTACTCAAACCAGAAACCTTTTATAAAATACTTATTCAAAACCAATAAGCAATGACAGTTATATAGCCCATACCTATGCGAAGCAAAAACTTGACAGTTGGACGCAGTTTTCCTTCCTTATTCACGTCGAAGCCAGAGTGACGCGGTCCAGGTGGAAACGTTACAGAATCAATCGGTAATCGGGGAGTACTGTGGGACGGTAGCAAAACCCATCGATGTGTAGCTCTTAAATGCTTACGAGGGACAATCGCATTGGCATATAGTTCGCGGTAGCTTCTGAGAGGGTTGAATTCTTGATTACCGGATTCAACATCTCCATAATGCACGATATCATTTTCACTGAAATCATCCATTTCTGTTGTTTCAGTGTTTACAGCCAATGAAGGGCGCTGATTTATTCGTTCCATTTGCCTACGTAAAGGCGAAGGCAAGCTAGAGACCAGCTGTTTTGATAAGAAGACAGAAAGAAGAAAATTACAAACCAAATCAAAATCTAAAAATTATGAAAAAAAATGCCCAGCTTAGTGATTGACTCATGAAAAGAAACAGCAATATCAGAAAGCAGTGACCTAATTGGTTATTCGTTATGGTGTAGAAATCTTCAACAGCAGGCACTCACGAACCGGCGGGAACCGTCATGTTTCCAGACATGAGCACTATCATACAACCATTCGGCTGAAATATAATAGTTCGTGATTTAAAGATTGCGCGTCAATCATGAAACCTAACCACCCTATGTATCATAATTACTTTACCTACTGAGTGCATACATGTTAATCCGCCTGACTGATTCTTCAAAGTAAAACTTTGCACAAAGGTACAGAACAAAATTCTAAGGAACTACTATGAACTATGAATAAATATTTTAAAAAGATGAGGATTACATGGATCTGGAGGATCACGAGGCGTGAGTGCAACTGAGCCATGTCACTAACAGTTTGTAGTTCTTACTTCATAGCGCTTAACCAATTCACACAAACCCCCACCCCTAAGTTTAAACCAGGAGTCAACTGAACCGAAAACATATCTTGTTCCCACGGGTGTTTCATTTGAGAGCCGCTTAGTCGACACATGAGACTATTGGATTTTAGATACAATGTTAGTCAAGCCAGTCGATGTTCTCACAACGTTTCAATTGTGAAAGGTAACTAAAGTACCGTTCCCAGAAATCGTTTCGCATACCAGTGGTTTTTTACAACTTGTTTCACCGATGAGTCTAAATAGTTTGCTGGTGTTATCTATTGCTGAATTCTTTTCCATCGCTTTCGCTTTTGTCGCCCACTAGTGTTCACAGTGATTGTGGAGACTTCAAGTCAGTTTGCATTTCAGCATCTTTCTTTCCTCGTCATGTTTAAAACCTACCAGAATCAGTGTTCTTGAGTCTATCAGCAGCAGAAATCTATCGAAATTTACCAACCGTTGGTTCCAGGTTATTAAGAGCCTTGATCACAGTTTTACACAGGAATCGGTGGTATGCCATGCTCTCTCAGAATGAGTCTTCCTGTCAATCTTAGGTGCAAGTTTAGTTATTTCTTCCCTAGACTGACAATTTTTGTTTATGTTAAGGTCATAGTGCAACGTCCTCGTTGCTACCTGTTACGTCTCTATTCGCCAACAGTAGGAATTCGCCCTCAGACACTCCTCCAACACATGACCAACTTACACAGTGATAATTAATAGCTGCCACTAATTCAACACCTAACTACACAAACGATATTTCTGGCATGGTAAAAACTGCAGGAATACTTGTTCCAACAAGTGTAAGTCGTTGTTTCGTTGTGACACTGCAAACCCTACCACCACGTTAAGGTAGCGGCTATTACTCAGGGGTAATGCACTTGTCATGACCTAATGGGCCTACACAAATCTCTGGGCAAACACTGCTAAACACCACCCATTATAGGACGGGATTATAGAAAAATATTAATTACAGGATTTCATCATGAGCTGACATCGGTTGGAGAACCGTTGGAAGACCTGGAGTACTGGACAGCTGTTTCTTCCTGGCTTGGGACTCGTCGTCAGTACGCACCCGCCGGGGTTAGAACCCAGGACCTTCTGCTTACAAGAAAACCTCGTGGACAATTAAGCTACTGGGATCCGATCCAATGGTCCAGGTGGTGTAATGCACCTTCATGTTTTTCAGTTCCGATTTTCGTTAGCACAAAAAGCAATAAAAGGCTACAAAGATGTGATAAGCATAAGTAGCTTTCCACTTACCTCCTTCTCAGGCATACAGGAGTGAGTCAAGTTTATGGGTGTCACAGTTACATATCTTCGAACACCCAACTTGTAAACATTCTGAAAAAACTTTAGGAATAAATGTTAATAACCTGAAGTATAACCCCTAAATACACCACGATTAAAAAAATTGTTTACACCGACTGTCGAAAATTCTGTACACCATTCCCTTTAAAGACAAGATCATTATATCTCTACAACGTATTTTTTCTAAATTATTAAACTACGTAGCAAAACACAACTGGCTACTATTGTTACATGAGTTCCCTGAAATACACGAAATCAACATCAGAAGGAATGCAAAACACTGGTAAATTACAACACTACAATATGATAAAACGAAATTGAGACCCTAATAAAAACAAAATGTGCTACAACAGGTATTGTAACAACAGAAGACAAGGGTCAGGCAACAGATCGTTTATTAAGGAAAATAAACACATATTTACAGATGTCAATGTACACTATTGTAGATTATTGTTAGTGGAAAATACAGTCGTTTGATTGGTTGTTGCTCACAGAAAGTTAACCTTCCATCTCTTTTTGGCTGTGTCAGATCATCCATATGCTAACTGTATCCGCCTACGCAAAGCCTTTGTTCCCATTTTCTCACCACCAATGTTGGAGACATAAACATTGACGACAATTACTGTCTACCAACTTTGGCTAGCAGGCAGGTTTTAGGCCAAGAAGAGGGTGCATTGATCATACCTTCACCCTTCGATAGATTCTAGAACATAGGCATTCCTACCGGCGTCCAACAATCATTATATTTCTTGACCTTAAGGCGGCATTCCATTCTGTCGACCGAGAGGTTCTCTGGCGATGCCTGGCTGTAAAGGGAATGCCGAGAAAATACATTGCACTGATTAAGGCACTCTACTCTACTCAAACTCATGCAGCCAGGTGAGGGCTTACGGCGAGTTGTCATCTGAAGTGGTGACGACTAGTGCCGTCCGTCAAGGATGCCCATTATCCCCATTTCTATTCAACTTCATCATAGACGTACTCATGGACTAAACCCTAACTCACTTCAGAGACTCAGGGATTGACTTGCTACCAGGGAATAATCTCGTTGACTTAGAATATGCAGACGATATAGTCCTTCTAGGTGAGGACGCTGACAAAATGCAGAGTCTTCTCAACACCTTCAGCTGCAATCTAAGAATGTTTGGCATGCGATTCGCCCCTGTAAAATGTAAGATGATGTTGCAGGATTGGAATACACCGACCCCTAGATTAGAAGTAGGAAGTGAAGTGGTAGAGCACGTTGACCACTTCAATTATTTGGGAAGTACCATCAGCCCCAACGGGTTGATCTCTGACGAAATCTCAGTACGAATACAGAGGGCTAGTTTCGCATATGCCAGTTTACGCCGTCTCTGGCCTATACGTGATATCCGACTATCCACCAAAGGGCGGGTGTACTACTCAACAGTCCGCTCCGTCCTCCTTTATGGCTAGCTGTGAGACCTGGTCATTGAGAGCGGAAGACATGAAAAGATTAGCTGTCTTCGATCATAGGTGTCTGCGTTCTATCTCCCGTGTGAAGTGGTATAATGGGGTGAGCAATATTGAGGTCAGTCACCGATCGAGTGCTAGGTAAGGTGGGGAAATCAGTCAACGAGACTGTGAAATTACATCGACTGAGATGGTTAGGACATGTGTTACGCATGCATACCTAGTCATCGCCTTCCTCGACGGGCAATGTTAACTGATACAGGGCTAGGCTGGAAAAGAGCTAGCGGCAGTCAAACGAAAATATAGCAACAGTCAATGAAATCCACAACAGTTAGTCTAAGCCACGTAGGAAGGTGTAGACTTCCTGGTTGGGGTACTCGGGATGGTAAAACCAACGGTTGGGAACAATTGGTGACATGGCTCAAAATCCTTCTCAATGGCTGGTGCAGATGCATCCACTCCTTGTGACTTATGATTTCCAGTTAAACTGTTTTGTTCTTCGTTATTACTATTCCTCTGTTTACTGCCTATGTTATGCATTTCTCCTATTTTCTTCTCTTGCTTTGTGTACTGACTGAAGTATGGCGAATTGAACTGCCCCACATATGTGCAAAGTTCTATGTCGAAAAAGAAAGATCCAAAAACATCACCACGATGTAATTATCAGACAATTTGGATTGTAAATAAATTAATCTTTTATTATTATATAACACAAATAAAGTGACTGGAATTACCGAATCCGATCCAGAGGTAGACGTTCTCGAACTAACAGTAGATAGACATACATTGTTCTTTGGGAGTATAAGTCTTAATGAGTTGTTTGAATTCATTCTGTAATTGAAAAATCATATGAAAATATTGACAACTTATTTCTGGTCACCACTTGTAACTAGTTAATATCGTACACTTAAGTGATCAATTTCCATAAAAAACGTACGGCAATAAAAAATGCATCGTTTCTTCAACAAATTTGAAATATCCAAACTTAAAACGTTTACACCTAAAAAGTAGTGAAAATTCTCACTACCAAAGTAGGGATACAGTTCGCAGAAATGATGATTACAGAGATGCAATTAGCAACCAAATAACTTACCCAGTAGTGTACTAGATGGTCTGGTCTCGGTAACCCTATTTCTTAGCGAGAAATTTCGTATTCACAGCTTACACAAAGAATACATTACTAAGTTTCATGATGCCCGCCGACCATGTTGACAGATTCTCGATTTATTATAGTAACTGTCGTCTTAAACATTGTCATCACTGAACAGAACCTCCTGTCGTGTAGACCAATAGGAAACATTCTTGAGACTTCTTGTCAATGATATACGATAAAGACCAAATAACCGTCATGTTCGACAATACGCCAAATTTCTGCAACTGTACTATACGATTACTGATTAGTTAACCATGGTTAAATAATTTCCTTTCCTATCTTCACAAATAAAATATAGGCTCATTGTATAAGTGAGCAGAGATTGCTCCGTAGGTGAACACCATCATTGTGTCATTCTTAAAACCAAGTTGAGTGCCAAATTTCCTTAGATATTCTTGGTGAAAACAATATTGACACGATGTACTTGGTCAGAATTATTAAGAAATCTACAGGTGAACGGCAGTAATATTCAACAAGTGTTTTTAGCAGATGCACAAAAACGAAGACAAAATTGCGGGAACTCTGTTATGAGAAAACGGTGAAGTGTGATAATTGCATTTGAACTATATTGAAAGCAATCAAGAGCTAAATATTAGTAAGGCGTATTAATATCTACATTTGTATACCTGGTTTCCGATAGGCTGAATACGAACCCAAAAATCTCTAGAATCTGAAGAAATTCGAGTCATTTGGAAACTTGGACATCCCACTAGTACGTACAAAACAAGTGGCACGGTGCTCAATATACTTCTCCGAATTGAGCATACAATATCAATAACTGGACTGCGGACCCAAACCATTTTAAGTATAGTGATTTGAACAGACAAGTTGTGTCGTAACCTTCAGATTATGACTATTGTTCATAACATAAGGTGTGAACTTTTCTGTGGTTATTAGAGTTGTCTATGGTCAAGGTATACAAAGACTTACGAATTCTTGTCAATCATAACTTTAAGGCTTACATAATTTAGTGCAGATGTGGCTTAAGCTTTCCTAACACTCTGAACGCTTCCAATGGTTTTTAAATGTAACAATAAATAATATAAATAATTTTAAGACCTCATCTTGGGTACTGTGAACACGGACTTAATCCATGTTTCAAGGGGGCACAAGAAATGGACAGAGAACAAAGTTTAGACGCTAATTTGGTCAGAGGAATCTCAAACCTTCCCTATAAGAGGTTAGAAAGTATAAAGCTCTTTTCATTATCATACCGTAAGAGCAGAGGCGATCTAATTTCAGCTTATCCTATGGTAACTGATGATTCACGTATTAACGCGATGAGACAAATTGCAAATGAGAGCTAAATACTCACACAAGATGGTCAACAAATAAAACTGTCTACCAAAACAAGTTGTATAAGCTTCCATAATAAACTCTTACTATTATTCTGAATTAAATCTCACTAATTCTGAAATAATTCTAACATTCTATAGTGAGTAAATTTTGAATCTGTTCTGAAATGGATTCTTTAATGGTATAGACTAGACCTCAGTGCTGGTTTTCAGCATGACTACCACTACTTCAGCACCCCGTTCTTTTACTAGGCATTTTCAGGAGTAGATCAGAACTTACTGGGCTTCCTTATCAGCGTTGTTCCAGCCCTCACAGGACATATTAAGCACGGACTAGCGTTACTTCAGAACATAGTGGGTACATAAAATTTTCATTGACGATAAAAAAGGCATTATCGAAGAATAGGCTAGAATAAGTTTACAATTGTTGTAAGCTTGGGGATCTCGACGGACACAAATATTGCAAGGACCAACACAGGTTACAATAGCCCACCGTTGCTTGTCTCTGAATATTCAAACATATATATGAGTACGAATATGTAACAAGAGGAGTTCAGAGACTATCTGAAGTAAAAACGTTAATTGACATTCCGGAAAACATACTTGGTGTACTGCCTAATGACGAATGGCAAGAGTAAGGAATAGACACAAAAGTCAAAGGACCTTGAATCTACCATTTATATTCCCCTAGGTAAAAAGTGGCATTTACTTAGAAAAAAAGTATTTATAAGGCATATATGTAATAAAACTGAATTACATATATATATATATACATCTGTGTATATCTGTAAGATGCTGTAAAAACTGGTCCCAGTTTCTCCAATTAATCGTGACATGCTAGGGACTGACGAAAACCTATGGGCAGGTAGGATAAGTCACACCTAATCTCCAACACCAACAGCCACAGCAACAACAACGTTGCAATCTAACATTGGGAGCTCCCCTTCCTGATTTTCCAATTCATAAGTGAATTGAATTGCTTCAACCTTTGGCAGAAGAAGCATCAAAGATAGGACTCCAGGTGAACATAGAGAAAACGGAGGTGATGAAGATTCCTGGCCAACACCAACAGCCACAGCAATAACAACAGACAGCAATCAGCATAAATGGAAGGAACCTGAAAGAAACTACCTCCTTTACCTACTTGGGAAGCATTGTTTCAACTACAGGCGGAACTGACGGTCGGTCGGTTTTCGACATAGAACTTTGCACATATGTGCGGCAGTTCAAGTCGCCACAATCTATGTAGCACGCAAAGCAAGAGAAGGAAGTAGAAGAAATGCATAATGGAAACAGTAAACAGAGGTGTGAGACAAAGGAATAGTAATAACGGAGAACAAAACAGTTTAATTGGAAATCATAAGTCACAAGGAGTGGATGCATCTGCGCCACTGAGAACGATTTTGAGCCATGTCACCAATTGTTTCCAACCATTGGTTTTTACCGTCCCGAGGACCCCAACCAGGAAGTCTACATCTTCCTACGTGGCTTAGATTAACTGTTGTAGATTTCATTGATTGGTGCCATGTTTTCGTTTGACCGCCGCTAGCTCTTTTCCAGCCTGGCCCTATATCAGCTAACATTACCCGTCGAGGAAGGCGATGACTAGGTATGCATGCGTAACACATGTCCTAACCATCTCAGTCGATGTAATTTCACAGTCTCGTTGACTGATTTCCCCACCTTACCTAGCACTCGATCGGTGACTGACCTCAATATTGCTCACCCCATTATACCACTTCACACGGGAGATAGAACGCAGACACCTATGATCGAAGACAGCTAATCTTTTCATGTCTTCTGCTCTCAATGGCCAGGTCTCACAGCCATAAAGGAGGACGGAGCGGACTGTTGAGCAGTACACCCGCCCTTTGGTCGATAGTCGGACATCGCGTCTACGCCAGAGACGGCGAAAACTGGCGAATGCGAACCTAGCCCTCTGTATTCGTGCTGAAATTTCGTCTGAGATCAACCCGTTGGGGCTGATGGTACTTCCCAAGTAGTTGAAGCGGTCAACGTGTTCTACCACTTCACACGTTGACCGCGGAACTGACGAGGATATCAAAGCAAGGATCGGGAAAGCAAGACAAGCTTTCATTACTCTCATGTCTGTGTGGAGGTCAACAGCATTCAGCGTCAAAAATAAGATCCGGATTTTCAACTCCAATGTGAACTCAGTACTACTATACGGATCAGAGACTTGGCGTGTCACAAAGAGCACCTCAAACAAGCTACAGACCTTCATTAACAGATGTCTTCGCTCAATACTCAAGATCAGATGGCCGGAAAGGATCAGCAACAAAGATCTCTGGGAGCGAACCAACCAGGAACCGATTGTGAAACAAATAGGCAGGAAGAAATGGAGATTGATTGGCCACACTCTGAGGAAACCAGCAAGTGACATCACTAGACAAGCCCTCGAGTGGAACCCGAAAGGGAAGCAACGAGTTGGTCGTCCAAGGGTGACCTGGAGGAGATCATGTGAAGAAGAATTGAAAGCGTATGGGCAGACTTGGAGCCGGAGAAAACTCTAGTAGAGAACCGAACGCAATGGAGACGCATGGCTGAAGCCCTATGTTCCTCTAGGAACTAAAGGAAATAATAATAATAAATCTCCTCACAGTCAATACACAGTCTTGACAAGAATTACACGTGGATACGGATGTAAAGCAAGACCCTACTATTGTCATATTTGACAGGCCAATCAGTTACTTCGTCAAATTAATTCAGGAGTGATACACTCATCTGAAGGAGTCATACACTCCCCTCGATTATCATAACACCAACCATCCAGTCGGTAGTCAAATATTTCCAGTATGACATATCTAGATACTCGTGTCTAGAATCACTGTAAATGCTGTCCTAGAAGCTGCACCCTCTCTCTACAGCTCTATGATATTCGACTGCTTTCAACACTTTGATGTCAATGAATCTAACTAAGTGAGCCAAGGATGTAACCACCAGTCAGTCACCTGTCGTAATCATGGCCCTGCACTTCGCCATCGAATGTGAGCAGGTTACCATAGATGACTGGTGTATTCAAGAGAATGGTCACTATAGTTGCCAGATATCTACACAAAAGTATTACTTCATCATTCCGAAGTAACCACTCACACTCCCAGTTGAAGTACAATACATGAAATGACTCATTACATGTCGAAAATCCATCAAAATATCGTCTATTCGCTTGGATAATCATTGCGAAGAACTTCACAATGGTAACATATTTCAGTGAAGACAACCTCACACACTTCAAATTTTGCCGCCTTATGAAAGAATAAGCGACATACTGGATAGACTGAATGAATTCCTGTTGGGAGACGAATCACAGTCAGCTTGTGAGAAGCTCTGTATTAAACTAAACTATCTCCCACGTGTATAACCTTTTCCTACCAACCAACCAACCAACACTGCTCACACCTATGAAACAAAAGGATGACTGTTTTCACGCCACAATCACCACTACCTATATTTCAGGATGATTGTTTCAACAGAATAACCAAGCAACCTTGGAGAAAAGTAATACAACGGTGGCGGTATAACACAGTAGACTTGAAAACACTCATGAGTACTAAAAATGATAATAATAATAATGATTACAATGGTATTTAACAATAACACATAACTCTATACGAAAAAAAAAGGTGAAGAAAAATATGAACTTTGGTGTGCAGTATAAAGAAGTACTTGGAATTAATATCAGTAAACGCACCTCTAGCAGATTGACGATTGTGTCAGTGAATGTAAACGTCACAGCAATCGAATAACACAGAAAACTAACTGAATCAACAATAACAAATATCAACTTGAGGATACATGATACTTTCCTCCTATCCGAATAACCCAATGGATAATAATAATAATAATAATAATGCTAATAATAATAATAATAGTATTCTTAACAGTGATAATATGAACGACCAAAATATGAATGACAACAATGATAGGCGCGCGACTAGTAGTAGCCTTACACAAACTGAGCCCTGGGCTATCAACTGGCTACACTCTTACTTCTCTAATAGGATGCAGTACACGGTTTATAATGGTGTATCTTCCTCTCCTTTGCTTACTGAAGCTGCAGTTCCTCAGGGTGCTGTTCTTTCTCCGTTTCTCTTTTCCTTCTTCTTACATGATTTACCTCTCAGAGATGAAATCAACTTCGTCAAATATGCAGATGACCTGTCTGTATCGTTTCCCATTAAGTCTCAGTCAGACTGTCTCAAATTAAATAGCTTCCTGTCGGACATCAGTGAGTGGTCCAAACTAAATGGTCTCATGCTGAATCCCTCAAAATGCCAGACTATTGACTTCTCCCTTAGGCATAAACGACATCTACAAACACTAGTAAGTTCTCATGAAAACTGTTGCATTGAGGGGACTAAAATTGAAACTAAGTCTAATGCTAAATACCTCGGTCTAGTTCTATCTTCCGACCTTACTTGGTCATCTCATATCCTAATGATTTCTAAGAAAGTGTTCTGTCTTACCTACTACATTAAGAAACTTAGACAATCTGGAATCACCCAACCTCTACTTTCACAATTTGTCAACTCTTGTATCTTACCTATTCTACTTTACTGCTCCCCGTTAGTCTTTCCTGGTCTACTGAAAAAGGACTATGCCATCCTGAGAAGAATGTTGAAGGTAGTCAGTAGGACTAATGGTGTAAAACTCAGTCAGCTCGTCACTACTTTAGTTGATAGGCATCTGAATACATGCGAAAAATGGTCAAAAACCATACTCTCCGACCCCCAACACTCCCTCTATTCCCAACTCTCGCCTTGTATCTCATCAAGTAAAGCCAGAAATCAGTATAAAATAATCTATGCTCGTACAACCAAGTACAGGAACTCAACGATACCATACTTGGCCCGTGTTCTAAGCGACAGAGACAATGTTAAGCGTGAAACTTATGACTTGCTCTGTTATTAACAACATAATTTTAGGCTCTTTTATTTCTCTCTTATTTTGTATTCTTTAGTGAACTCCTTCTCAAACATACTTAGCTACCTAAAATATTAACATTGGCTTACTTTTCTGTACTTTACTGTATTCCTTCCTTTGTGTATCTACTGGTTCCGACTTTAATAGCACTTTGAGTATTACCAAATTGTCCTGTCATTAACCATCATGTAATTATTAGTTATTGTGGTTGTCTTTTTTCTATGTTTTTTCGGCAATATCAACTGACAATCATTGGTTGTGAGCGCCATAGTCACCACCTTAAAAAAATTTTTTGTATTATTCAGGATTACTCACACTACCACCACAAACACTGCATTAGACTTTGGTAGACTTTTGTACTTTTTCGCATTTATAATTATTTTGTGTTTATCCTGTTTTTTTTTGCTGTTGGTGTCTTCAGATTTATTTTCTTTGGTTGTTTAATTACTTATTTTAAATGTCTGTAAAATTAGATGCAAATATTGTAGATATGTGCTGAAAATTCCACACTGTACCACTAGTACTGTTTCTGGAATAAAGCAAATTATTATTATGATTATCATTAGTAGTAGTAGTAGAATTACAATCCTAATGAACATCCATGATATGCTGCATTATCGTGCTACGGATCTTGCTGTGAAATTCACACATTGGACAGACAAACTCATCATCATCATCATCAATATCAGAGATGGACATAGTTGTGGCCTCTAATCCACTTTGTCTTCCTCTTGCGTTATCACCACCCCTCACATTATATTCATTAGTAATACCTGGTCGTCTCTCACAACCACTGTATCTATTGTAACTGCTACACTGAATACTTTCATATGTTGACTGTCTATTAAGAGTGGAATCATTAATCCGTATAGAAGCTGATCCAGATTGTAGTCTACCTGATATTTTCGAGTTCACTGATGGAGTAGAAGTAGGAGTAGCAGTCGTCGTCGTCGTAGTAGTAGTAGTAGTCCGCGTTAATCTGATGGGTAGATTGTCATTTGCAGTTGGAGTGGTTACAAGCGTTGTTGGTATATTATTCAAAGAGGCATTGGGTGGAACAGACGTTGTGACTTCATTACAGATATTGGGAGTATTAACGACTTCAATTCCATGAGCTACCTTCGCATGTCTAATTAAGTCTTCGCGTGTCATACAGAATGTCGGACACAAATCACAACCAAGAAACTGTAAAGGATAAAAACAAAACAACAAAATACAACAGTTGTATAAAGCCCATGGATTAGATAGATTCATTGATATAAGAATAGAACTTGTGCACTGTGGTAAAGTATAATTCCATTGTGGGTAAAATCTATTTTGATAAAGTCCCACAGTGTTATACAGCAATATTTACTGATGACGTTTGAAGCACAACTTATTGCCTCTCGTAATCATATCAAGATACTCACACAACTTTCGAACTTCGTAAATAATACTTCACTGTATCACACGATGTGCCATATCAGATAAGCCAGCTTACATTAAACAAAGCTCACTGAGAATCTTTTGTGAGATTGGCCTAGTGTATTACCAATCTTTTTAAAAGATATTAACTAGTTAGAGAAAATGGGGATAGTAGTCTTAAGATCTATCCGAGATCCAACCAACTTCAGTAAAATCATTATACACTCTTCAGTATATTATAACACTACAAAAATGATCGGTAAGTCAGGCTATTTCAGCCTATCACAGAGATGCACATAATGCTGAATTTGCAATATTTTCGAGTAGTGCTAGTATTAGTAATAGTAGTAGTGTTCTCCAGACGTCCACTGGTCTACAGAAGCCTTGAGGACAACATCTCACACCTGACCACTTCTATGTACACATATCAGTCCACCTGTTGCTGTGGAGCCGGCCAGGGACATTGGTCGTTGGACGCGTATCCTGTCTGAAAGGGTTCCAGAACACCATCCTACAGTATAGATGTAAAAAGGTAGTAGTGGCTCTATAAGCAGTGACACAATCGAACACCTTGTCGAAACTGGTCATTCCATCTCAACAAACGCCTCTTCCATCAAAGTAATACACACAGTTCAGAACAACCTGCAAAAGGAAATAAACTTTCGTCTCCTTCCCATTGCTGAAGCCTTAGTCATTCAGGTAGAGAAACCGAAGATATTATGCATACAAAGGAAAATTATTCAACGACTTCTACTAGCATGGTAACAACCTTACTGATGTCTACTGACTTGATGTTTGTGTGCCTGCCTTTCTAACTCCTTATGACTTTTCTATTTCTTTAAAACTCCTACATAATTCCATATTTTGCTTCGTCTCTACGTACATCCTGATCACAACTCACCCATTGAATTATTCATCCTATTACGCAACTCTACTCTAATACACTTATTCAACTTTTATGGATTGACTAATATTAACAACTATGGTTGTGACAACTCATCACTTTTGTTACTGCCCTCTTGCATGAAAAAATTCGTGAATTAAATTTTGGTTTAGTGACTAATATGTTCGAAGGTTAACTGTTAGGTTTATGTGGACAAGTGACATGTACTTACTGTAGTCCTCACGTGTACTCACTTAAAAACGGGCTAACAATTGTAATGCCTTTTTTAGATTTTTTTAATCAAAATCGGTTAAAAGCTGAGTACTGCTATTCTAGCACAATAGAACTACATTACAATAATATTTTCAAAGACTGTGGCTTATTCTTTTTTAACATCTATGATAGCATACTTTTTTTAACTTCAATGTTGAGATATGACTAACTTTAGTTGGAAAAATGCAGTGAATAACTTTGATACAAGAACACTTAAATAGAACAACATGTAAGTAAGAAACGAGCACTCACACAAAAAGCCGATCGTCTGCATTCAATTTATCAACCGCTTCCTTTAAAACAGTTGACAACGACTGTTCCGGGTATTTTTTCTGAAAAAAGGAAGGATTATAATAGCAATAATAATAATAATAATAGTGGATAAAGAAAATAACCAATCTGTTGAATATACAATAGAACATACACATTAGATTAACAAACCGATTACCTTAGGTGGCAAGAAAACAGATGACTAGTTACCGAACTGTAATAAATCAACTTCATCATCATCATCATTCAATAAGATCCTATTCTAAAGAAACATGTGGACACATGAAAATTGTTCATCTACTCTTCTACTTTCACTCTACTTTCATCTATAATAATAAATGTCATCTTTTTTTGACAAAGCTACATGACAACGATTGGATATCATTCTGTGAGCACCTACAAATATGCTAAACGAATCTAACATGAAGTTTTCAGCTTTTAGTAAAACTTATTGAAATATTACAGCAGTTAAGGTTGAAATCATGCAAAGGTATTGTAAGAGAGTCGGATAAACAAAATAATATTTCGGGAAATGTGAGACAACAGTTTACGACCATTGAAACCACTTATGTTATTATAGGTAAGTTTAACATGATATGTCTTTAGTGATACAACCCCATGAAACACTTTCTACGAATGAACGATGAATAAAATCACCTATTTAACACAACTAGCAGAAATACCAGCCACTTGAATGTATAAAACTCAGTCCAAGTAATAAGGGTGTCTATCTGCAGTCTGAGATATTTTGGTGGTATTTTGAAATACTATACAAACAAGGCAGAACTCAAGTAAAGAATTTCAGAGATGACGATGGGTGAGTAGATTTGACCTGTTGTAAATGACACTTCTTAATATCCCAATTATCTCAGCTCAGCCAAACAACCATTATAATAAAAATTAAAAACTACATGAATCTAGTCCACGCTATGATTTATCCACACCCAAATTTGTCCCTTATAATCTAGATTCAGTCAACATTGGTCTCAAGGCTCACCGCGGTTTGATATCAGTCAGAGAACCACTGAACACGTGGATCACGTTATAATCGCAAATTGATAGAAGTTAGAATTCATGGGCCATTGAGTCGGGTACCCGAGGCTGAATGGTCTACGAACTTCACTTGTAACCCTGGCTTCGAACTCCAGTGACTACATACTTCCGACGAGTCCCAGACTAGGACGAAAGCGCTGTCCAGTACTCCCTGGTTTTCAATCCTTCTCTAACTGATATCGACCTGTGGCCAAACTTAAAACAAATCAAATCCCTGCAAACTAATTCTCGACAACATTGGTCTCCTAAGAAGGTGGTGACTCAGCATGGATAACACTACAATCTAGGAAGATTCACAATCTCATCCACCGTTAAATCACTTCAAGTCTCACGTCGACATACTTTGTGCCTCCATCCCAAGCACACAAGCATTCATGCATACGGTCTCGACGACAATTACAATTAAATACTGACATCTTATAAACAAACACGTGTATCTGCACATACACATCTTATAATTTATACTAAAAAAACCCTTCGACCGTATACAAAACTTATTTTCTGAACAAGACCTGTTGAGAAATTGAAATGTTTATGTCACTATCACTAATTAAGGTCTCAAAATGGCTTCATAATGGAAGACCTCACTTTGACCATTTAAGCATGATAACAGTTGTAATAGAGCAACACAAACAATTATACAGGTGAAGCACGCAGGGTAGAGCGGAGAGGCAGAACACGACTTGAGAAAAAGCATTTTATAATTCACACTGAATTACACCAACAGAAGTCCAAAAATTATATACATGTAGATACAAAGAGCTAGGCTATTACAGCTCAGCGTCCACCGGTTTTTGAACTGAGGCTTCCTTTCAAATTTGAACCACCACAATAACAGTCTTTAGAACATTGCCGATTTGTACAACCTTGACAAGATGCAGATTAACAATAAGATACTAAAAACTGTAAGTCCCATCACCAAATTCCATGATGAAGTAATCCAAGAATTCCGTTTACAGTTTTCATTGCCCATATCTGATAATGAAGAATCCAGAAGAGCTATTCGACAACAAGAGAATCTTTGGTCAAATTTGGTCATCTCCTTACATGATTTCGCTTTCTATGAAGTGAGAAAACATTGAAATGTTTGATGTCATTTCTAAAGTGGCCCTATTATGAAGCATGAAATGCATCATAATATTTGCGATAATTATCTGTCTGAATGGGTTTGCCTTTTGTTCCAAGTAATGGGGTGACCTTAGACTAACCAGATGTTGAAGCTTGATTTATACAGGTAGTCTTCATTGCGACAGTTTCTTAGGATCGCACTACAGATACTCATTAGGTTTGTCATCTCCCGATGTTAGTATTACTATTATTTGTTTAGTGGGTTCCGAATGGAATATGAGGTTTCAGCAACATATCTTCATTCCATTTGACTCACTGTTATCGGTTTCAGGAGGACTCAAGATGCTCACAAACAGTCATTTCTTCTTCATACTATCCCCCACCCTCTTTCATTGTCAGACTCTCTCTCCCTCTCTCGACTCACTGCTTCCCATTCGAGGTCTACTCGAGAGGTTGGCATGTGATTTCACTCAACAATCTCTTCATGGTATGTTCAGTCCATCTCCAATTCCCCCAGCATATATGTTGGTTACCCGTAGCCCATTGGCTTGTTGGCTGCCGGTGTTCACTGCTGCTTATCCCTTCTAGCTGACTGTTCGATCTTTGGGATCCAGCAGAGACATGTGTTCTCGGATTTATTCTGTGTCTTACACCAAAGGCATTTGGTGACACACGTGCATCCAGTCTCTAACATTAGTGTTCAAAATTTGTATCTCGTTCGTTCAACTGATTTCAGTGGGTCCGCATACTGCTTCCCGAATAACGAATCCCATTCCTTTCCGACCGGCCCGATCTGGTGCCGCCTGTAGCTGAAAGAAATGGCTCCCTTCGGATGACTAGTGCTTGTTATTGTTGTTGGTCATGGTGGTGGCGGTGGTTAGGAATCTTCATTACTCCCGTCCTCGCCATGTTCAAATGAACTCCTGTTTTCTCTGCCTCTCCTCTAACTCTAACACCCCCGCCTGCAGTTCTTCGAGTTTATGA